AAGCTATTCTGTAGTCTATTAAAAAATAAAGTTAAATCTAAAGATAGCTGGTAGATTAAAACGCAAAAGTAAGTTGTTGTTACACATTAATAAAGGATTAAATTTACAAAAATGGATAGGCACTAAAATTCAAAACCACTTGAACAGAATTTAAGTGAAATCTTTTAGATAACTTGACGCCCACCTCCAAAAAATAAACAAATAAATAAATACTTCCAATACCTCTTGTTCAATGTTTTCGAAATGGAAAATATTCACATTAAATCATTTACAAAATTTTTCAACATCACATAACAAATTTGCCAATTACGAAAATTCTACAACAAATTTGACATTTCATGGGCATTTCTGATATTCCTAACAGAACTCAAAGAATATTCATAAGTTTATAAGAAAACTAACCGTTTTAAAACTGCAATATCCATTGCAGAAAATTTCAACGTATGATACAAAGATTTTGAAATCGTGAATCCTCATTCGTGTGTGTTCAGTCAACCAACCATCAATCATTTCTTCCATCAAATAAACTCAAGATTGGGCAAAACACAGTTCTCTCTTAGCACACGGATGATCAAAGCTTCTTGAGAAATACAGCTTTTCTATTAGAATAGAGTATTTTTCGCCTAGAATTAACTGCATTAAAACTACTCGTGAATATCATAACAAAATATCAAATAATATCGGCAAATATCTCTTATCTTTTAAGCTTTGTTTCTAATATATTGTGAAATATTTATAATATATTGAAAAACATCTCTAATGGTTTAAAACATTGATTCCTCAACATAATTATGAAAGATGTCCCAGAAAGTAAATTAACATCTATTATAACATTTTAACATCGCTTTATGTTCTTTTTAAATATTTCTAATTTACCATTCCTGGTATTTTGACATTTTATTCCTATCATGTTCATTAAAAATTTGATACTATCAAATATTTGTTCCAATGAGATAAAGATTAACCCAAAGATTTCAAACGGAAAACTTCGGAGAAATATTTTTTCATCGTAGCTATTTCATATTCTTTAAATTTTTGGATGATGTGCGGACATTTCATAATATAATTATCAGTTGAGATGGAACCTAAATTTAAAGAAGCTTAGATCACTAAAACTTTTTTTCAATAAATATTGTTACGGATTTTGTATTCCGTTGGATTTTTTTAGTCGAACTGTAATTAAAATTGTTTTATTTTCCCATGCATTACAGCGCGTGGCGAATTTTAAGAGAAAGCTACGCGGTAAAAGTAAAAATACGAGAGCATGTGCATTGAACATTTAATAAAAGTTTATATCCGTAATTGATATTTAACTTGAATAAATGAAAGTGACTACGATGTTAACTGTAACCGTAATTCTACCCTTTTTGTTTTCCAGAAATTGCGAGAATTCTCTCGTGCATCCATCTCTTTATGTAAAATGGCTGAACTAGTTAAATCCAGACTCGACAGGGGGTGCAACATTACAGAGACTTCATGATGCCTCGCTTTGCTCCTCCCTGTTTGGTTTGTGGCCCCTCCTTCTCCAGCTTCCTCCGATTCTCTTCAGATACTTTCCCACGTCCGGAATTATACGTCAAGTGCCTTCGGGCTTTAATTCAAAAACCGGCAAAGTTGCATCCTGCAATATTTCGGTATATTAAAGTACCTAAGTTCTTAGTTCAGTTGTTCAGTTTAATTAGTTACTGTAATTTTGAGATCGGATTAGCTTTCTCTGCGCTTTGGATTGCGTTATATTTAACGTTTTAGTAGTTTAAAATATAATTACTGTTTATATTGCGTGATATTAAGATACTGAACGAATATCTTTGAGGAATAATCCAGTGTTTTGCCATATTTCTTGTGATTAGAATAATTTTTATTAACTTTTTATCGGACTTGTGTACTCAATCGCTTACGAACCTGTACGCACGCAACAATACTTTCATTTCTTTATTTTAATATAGGAAATGCCTGTTTATTTGATACTGGTCAAAATGTTATTTATAATATTATTTCAAATGTGTCTATAAATTTTAAGCTTTGGTACAATCTGCTATCCTCCATCAACTAAATAAAAATAGTGTAATTAAATTTCAGAATATAAATCGGGGCTTGCATATTAAAAATACTTTTAATTGTTAAAAAGAGTTGAACTTGATAAGAAATGCACTACATATTTTTGAATAAAGAAAGTTGCATCAATAATCACTTGACAGCTGTTCTAAGAAAGTGAATAAACTGCTTTTTCAAAAATTATTAAAATCGATTTTTATTTGACATTAATTTCAATAAAAAAGCTCAGTTGCATGATGTTACAACTACTGGACGCAGGCTTTGTTTCGTTAAATAGGGATCCTAAACATAAATTAAAAACTTTTTCTAGCCAGAACGTTTTATGAAAATATTTTCAATTGTGTGGATGGGAAGGTTCCATAAATATGAAGCCTAAATGTTTGTATGGTGCCCTGTAACAAAATATGCAGCTGATGAAATATCTATTATGAAATAATAATTCAAAAACTCCCATACCTTTAAATGCTAAATTCAGGAAGATGATCGAGAGCTAATTTACCAACTTCCCTATGCATATTTCCGACAAAATTTCATGGTGTTACAATCATATTTAATGGAGTCACTACGGGAAAGAAGACTGCTCCTTTCGGCCATTATTGATTCCATATTAGGAAAAACAGCCCTCGTTATTAAATTTGTAACTCTACCCTAAAAATGTTAGTTATCCTTATCTCTACAGGTTTTGCATATGAACGCATGGCACTTTGCATTAAACATAAAATATACTGAAATTTTAAAGAATCAGAATTTTTGCTGTGTAGAAATTTCTCGAAAATAAAGATTTTTATATTTACAAACCCCTCTCACTAATAGCAGTTTTTATAAAGATTGTACCGTATTTTGAATCATTTTGTAAAAGAATCTACAAGTCTAGGGATCCATTTTTAAAGAAATAAAGCATGCAACTATCTTTTCCAAACACTCTTTTTAAGCCTTTGTCAAAATAAAAGAAGTGTGAAATTTAATAGTAATAAATGATAAATATTGAGTCCGAAAAAGAGGAATTAAAAATTATTTCAACGTCAGTGTTTTGGTTATTTTTACAATTTTTCGTATACTAAAATTATATAAATAATTTCTTTAACTACTGAGTTAAATTTCCTTGAAATCTTCTACAATCGTCAAGCTTCACATATATGTTCATTGATTTTTGTGGTAATCCTTATATTTCAAGTGTTTAGAAAACTTTACGCTTTTTTCTTCTTTTCCTCACTTCCAGTCAATATGTAAGTATATACATCTAACAATCAGTTACCAATCGAGGTGGAAGCCATTTCTGAATATTTCTACAAATGTCTGAGAATTTAAAACATTGAGTCTGAGAATTGAATTTCTTGACAACAAGTTTAAAAGCAGAAGAAATAATAATACGAATTTAAGTAATATGAGACAGAAATGTAGGACATGTTTCAGAAGTCTGATAGGCGTGATATCTCTGAAAGACAGTACTTGAATTTCCAACTGTCTCAGATTTTTTATACATGTTATTGAGACGGAAAAAAAAAAAAAAAAAAAAAACACTGAAGCATTAAACTTTATATTAATCTTCTATTGTCTTTGCTTTATACCTTCAATCGTATAACATTCACAAATTTGATCTAATGTATTGTTACGAATTTGGTATTTAAAAAGCTAATGTTAGTTCAATTATAAATTAAATGGTTTTATTTCTCGCGCAGTGCAGCGCGTGACGAATATTAAAAGAAAGCTAAGCCGGAAAATTGAAAATACAAGAGCGCGTGCATTAAATAAATAAATATCTCTTTTTGATTTCGAGAAAGTACTGGAAAATTCTAGCGCGTGATTTTAAAATCTTATAAAAGGAGGAAAACATCTCAGTTTGTAGTAGTTGCTTAGTTTGTTGTTGTTTAGAAAACTGCTGTTGTTGATTGTAGCGAATTCGCGGATTAGCGTTCTTTAGCTGTTTTGAATTACGTTCTATTGGACATTTGAGTAGTTAAAAGATAAACTACTGTGAGATATTGTAATACTGCATGATAATTTGAGAAAATTTAAGCATTTTTGTTGTGATAATAATAAATTTTTGTTCTTCATTTTTCATCGGACTTGTGCATTCATTTCATAACGAACCCGTACGCACGCAACAATTTTTGGTGTCCAGTTTGCAACTTATGATCTTTTTCTTATTTTACATTTAACAATATTGATAAGTGGCTTACCTTTCTTGATGAATTCCACAGGAACGCTTGGAATTCCTTTTCATTTTATCACAGAAGCTTTATTTACAGCTATGTACAACAATGTATGCTTACATCTTTTTTTTTTTTTTTTTTTTTTTTTTTGGTTGCCACACTACATCTATCTCAAAAATCCGCAATGCGGTAAGAAAAATATAACAAGCTAAAAGTAAAAAACGCTCGTGGCCAGCTACATAAACTGTAACATCCTCCCCCTCGATGAACTCTTGGTTCATCAAAGGATTGGATTCTGAAGTTATCTTAAACACTAAATGTTTTTAATGTTCTACAAGTTTAAATGTTCATAGATGCAGTGTTCGCAATTTAAGTTCATTGTATTCAGTTCAAAGAGTTCAAGTCATTTCTAATGGGTACAATAACTGCACAGGACGACGAAGATGAGTTCCATTAGCTAAACGGACAGTGCAAGCCCTTATTTTCCCATCTCGTCCTGGATGACACTCCTGTACAACTCCCATCTTCCATAATAATCTTGGTAATTTTTCTTCATGTACTAGAACTACAGAGCCTTTCAAAAGATCTGTTACGGCATTACCTCTCTGAATTTGTTTTACGTTTCTAATTTCAAGTAAGTATTCTCTTTTCCATCTTTTCCAAAACTCCTCTAATAACCTTATCCGGTATTTATATAGGCTTGTTAAATTTTCTTTAGTTGAATCAGGTTCAAGAATTTTGCCAGATGGTAAGGATGTCAGTCTTCGTGCAACGCCTTTCCCAAAAACCGCCCTACCAAGCCGCCTTCTCCACATTGAATTTCCACTCAATACCTTTATTACCAAAATAATTTTGAACTTCTGTATCCTTGATGGTATTCCATAGTTTTTGTAAATCCTTGTCTGCTCTTTTGAAGATTTTTGCATTGTCTGAATATATTATTCGACATACTCCTCTTCTTGAAATAAATCTTCTAAAGGATAGAAGAAAATTGTTTGCTGTTTGGCTAGACACAAGTTCCAGATGCACTGCTCTGGTTACAGCGCATGTATACAGAGCAATATAAGCTTTCCCAGTTTCATCCTTTGTACTCATAGGACCAGCAAAATCAAGTCCTACAACTTCGAAGGGATTTGCCTCTGTTATTCTTTCGGTTGGTAAAGGAGCGATATCCTGACTTAGTGGCTTAGCTTTAAATCTGTAGCAAATCACACACTTGTTAATATTACTCTTTACACGCTGTCGACCCTTAAGTATCCAAAATTTTTCCCTAATTTGAGTTAAAGTTTCAGCTACACCAGCGTGTCCTTGCGTTTCGTGACAATCTTTAATGATATGATCTGTGAAATGAGACTTCTCAGGTAGTATTGCTGGGTATGTTTGATTATAGCTTAACCCAGCATTTTGAAGCCTTCCTCCTACTCTGAGTATTCCATTTGAGTCTACAAATGGATTTAATGTAAATATTTTCGAACTATGTATGCTTTGTTTCATCTTTAATTTCCTTATTTCTTCTCTAAAATTTTCTTCCTGAGTTTTCTTGATCCAGAAATTCTCTGCTTCATTCATCTCTTCAGCCTTAACAGGTCCAATTCTTCTTAGTTTTGGGTTTTTCACATTATTGATAAATCTGAAAACATAAGATGTTATTCTATATACTTTCTTTATGTCACTAAAGTTCTCGATAGGAATGATATTTTCAACAATACAGTTTGCTGTTAAAATTTCTTGCTTCTTTCCCTTTCGTTTCTCAGAATTTGTTATTTTATCATCTTCATAAAATTTCTCGAAGATCTGGGCCAAACTTTGTTATCTTTGACAAGCCAAGGTGGGCCATACAACCACAGTTCATTTTTTGAAAAGGTTTCTACCTTCTGCCCTCTCGTCAATAAGTCCGAAGGATTCTCATGGCTGGGAGAATAATTCCACCAATCTGGATCAGTTTTCTCTTGAATTTATAGACACATATTTTGCACAAATTGTTTCCATTTTGTCGGATCAGCCTTGACCCAATGTAGTACAATACAATTTCTGAATCTGTCCACATATAAATCTTTATTTCTATGTTTTTCAACGAATGCCGAATGTATGTGATGAGACGAGCTCCTATGACTGCTCCTAAAAGCTCCTGTCGAGGTAACGTAACCCTTTTTTGTTAACCCATTTTCATTGTATCTCAAATATACAACTGCACCATATCCCTTTTAGCTACTATCTGTAAAACAGTGCAATTGAATATTCGACAGATTACCTTTTGACAGATTGTTGAAATAATGTCTTGGAATTTCAACATTTTTTAATTTAGGAATTTCATTATACCAGGTTTTAAATCGGTTCTGCAATTCTTGATCAAGTGGTGCATCCCATTGGTATCCTCTTTGCCAACATTCTTGCATCATCATTTTAGCTGCAACAACAAAGGGAGATATGAAACCGATAGGATCGTATAGTTCGCCCGCAACTTGAAGAATCTTCCGTTCTGTTATTTCCTCAGCCGGATCCTTGAGTAATTCATCTTTGATTCGAAATTTCAGTTTATCTGCTTCATGATTCCAAAATATATCCTAACAAAGTGCTATTCATTCCGTCTCCATTAAACTTCGTATTTTCAGCTGCATTCCAAATCGCATGTAATTGGGCGTTATTGCTCTTGCTCCTCCATTTTCTCATATTGAAACTAGCAAGCATCATAATTCTTTTCACATCTTCATAAATTTCTGCAGCTTCTTCTTCATCATCTGTACCATGAATCAAATCATCTACGTAAAAATTTTCTTCAAGAAGCTGACAGATCTTCGAATATTGTGCTTTCAACTTTCTTGCGTGATGCTTTATAGTTGCTGCTAGTAAAAAGGGGCTACAGGTTGCTCCGAATATTACACGCGTCATTCTTAAAATCGTCGGTTGCTCCTTTTCCTTTGAAGTCCAAAGAAATCTTACTGCATTTCTGTCCTCAGGCTTCAACAGAATTTGTAGAAAAGCAGCTTCGATATCTGCAGCAAATGCTATTTTGTGTTGACGAAATTTAATTAGCAAATCTAATAATTCAGGGTTTAAATTTGGTCCTGAATGTAAGCAATCATTTAAAGATAGACTGTCATGAGTATGCGAGGAAGCATCAAATACGACCCTTAATTTCGTAGAATCGTGATCTTCTCTGATTACACAATGGTGTGGCAAATAATAGATGTTTTCTTCAGAATTCTTCGGAGCCTTTTCAGCTATTCCTTTATTTAGATAATCTTCAATTACCCTTGAATACTTGTCATAAATTTCAGGATTTTTCTTAAAGCTTCTAAGTAAACTGTTCCATCTGTTTAAGGCGATGTTATAATTACTACCCATTTTGTTCATATTGTCCTTCCAAGGTAATGAAACTTCATAACGATTGGTTTTATATTCATATTTTTCTTCAAATCTACGCATAACTTCAGTGTCATTTTCATTTGTTGAATAGTCATGTATTCTAATTGCATCTAAATCCCATAGCCTTTTTAGAGCTGCACTAATTTCCAAATCATGTGCATGTGAAGTATTCTCAACAACATTCATTACCGTAATTCCGGAATGAAGTGTAGAAACATTGCGTAATGCTTCAGTTCCACTTATAGTGTAACCAAATAAGGTTTCAGAGGCAACAAGACCCTTTGATAATCTTTTAACCTTCCCAGTGACTATTTTCCAGTAATAATCATTACCAATTAATACTGATATTTGAGAGTTATGGAGACCTATATCCGTAGCATCAGCAAGTCTTATCGAGTTTTCCTTACAATAATTAAGTATTTCCTTTCCTGGCATACCAATAACAGCTTGATTAATTTCTGGAGTTTCAAGAGCTTCAATTATTATTTTCCCAGGTCCACATATATCTTTAAGAATAACCTTAACCTTTTTTAGCCTTTTTAACTGTAGGCTCAGTAGAGCCGAAGGTGTAAATCTGAAGTTCTTCTTCCCCCACAACACTTAATTTTAATTGTTTTGATACTTCTGTCAGGATGAAATATTTATGAGAGGCAGAATCGAAAATGAGTCTTACATTTTTTCTTCTATTCTGACCTAAAGCTATTGCATTTGCAGTTTGTAAATAAACCCTATTTTCTGTTATCTCTTTCCGAAATTGACGCCACCACTGTGTCTGTTTTAAGCTCACCTTTATTTTCCCGTTTATTTTCAAATTTATTATCATGTAAAATAGTATTATGCCTTAATGAACATAAATCACAGCGTATATCCGAGCTGCAACGGGCAGACGTATGAGACTTACGAAAACATAAATAGCATCTGTTAGCCATTTTTAATTTTTTTCTTTTTTCCTCAATTGGAATTGCGCAATTTGAAGTAGAATGTTTCAAAGATTCATTTTCTATCTTCCCACAAAATATACAATCGGCTGTTGATGTATTCGTATTCAACGACGCAACTGCTGGAACAAAATGTTTGTTTTTGAAGGCAGTATGATATTTCTCACTTTTAATAAGGTCTCGCGATTGATGTTTATGTTGTTCGGTTCTAATGTTAAACTCGGAATAGTTTGGCGATGTTTGGAAAAACGTACGCTCTCTGCTTTCAACTTCCTTCTTCAGAAATTCCAAAATGTTAGTCACTGTGGTTTCTGTGTCAGGGGTTAAAGATCGATTAAACTCTAAAACTAATTCGCTAGGAAGTATCCTCATTAACAGTGGGCATAACAAATAGCTGTAAGAATTCGAAGTAACGTTAAGGGAATCAAGGCTTTAATTTCAATTTCTAAGCTATCATATAAGCTGCATAATGTTTTAATATCATCCATTTTTTTACTGGCTTTAAATTCAGCAGACGATTCATATGTGCGTTTATTAAAATGTCCTTTCTACCAAACCTTTCTTTCAGAATATTTATTGCCTTAGCATAATTTTCAGCAACTAACGGTAATCCCTTTATTAACATTAAAGCTGTGTCCGTTAGTAATGATGTGAGGTAATTTGTCTACATCCTTTAAAGCAGAGTTATTATGTATAGCAGATTCGTATTGAGCTCAAAAACTTTGAAATTCACATATTTCGCCTTTAAATTTATTTATGGTTAGTTTCGGAAGTTTAGCGCCGTTTGTATTTGTGTTCTCTACCGTATCTATAGTAGCAGAATTAAATGGCATCTCATTTAATTTAACACATTTTCTATTTCTAAATATTCTACTGATCTTCGATTTACACAAGGTAATTTTATTTTTATATTCCAAGCTATCCTGTATTTCAGTTTCGTACTCTTTTTCATCTGTTAGGATAGATTCGATTTCAGTGTTCAATATTAGTATATCGTTTTCATTTTCATTTAAGATGGATAAATCATCTTCTAATAAATCAAATTTAATATTATCCGATTCTATTTCCTTTTCCATTTTAGCTATCAGTCTTGTTACTGATGCTCTTAGCATTCCTCGCTTCTTTTTAGTGCTTTTAACTTATCCATCTTAATAATCAATATTCAATCACTAATCGAACAGTAATAAATACTTAAATCATAATATATCTAAAGATCACTGTTATCCCGGAATATCCCGGAAAAGAATCTTATTCTTTATATTTAACAATATTGATAAGTGTATTTTTGCTTACTTTTCTTGATGAATATCCACAGGAACGCTTGGAATTCCTTTTCATTTTTATCACACAGAAGCTTTATTTACAGCTATGTACAACAATTGTCTGCTTACATCAAAACATTCAACATGTTTTTTTTTTTTTTTTTTTTTTTTTTTTTTTTTTTTTTTTTTGGTTGCCACTACATCTATCTCAAAAGCCCGCAACGCGGTAAGAAAAATATAACAAGCTAAAAGTAAAACATGCTGCGCCCTCTCGTGGCCAGCTACATAAACTGTAACATCAGGAGTGGGATTTGAATGCCAATTACTAGAGCGATGGAAGAACAATTGAGGCAGCTTATTAGTGCTTTTGCTGCATTCCAAGAAAAGATAGAAGTTGGCCAAGCATCATTTAAAGAAGAGATGAATGTGTTAAAGAAAAGAATTAAGGAGATTGTTGAAATCCGTTGATGAAGACTCGAGAATCCGTAAGAGAATGAAAAGATTGAAGCCCAGGTCAAGAAGAAATGAAAAGAGAAATTATTACTGCATAATAGAAAATAAATTTGAAGCTATGGAAGGCAGAATTGACACAGTTGAAAATAAAGTTGGACAAATTGAAAAAAAGTTTCTTTCGTAAAAGATCAAATTGAAGAAAGAGTTTCTTCGGTGAAAGAAGAAATAGAAGAAAGAGTTTCTTCTGTAAAAGAACATATAGAAGGGAGAGTTTCTGCTGTGGAGGAACGAATTGAAGGAAGAGTTTGTGCCGTCCAACACCAAATCGAACAACAAATTGATGATAGGTTTCTGCAGTTGCCAAAGAAGTTGGATACTTTAAAGAAATTCGTAGCGACGGCAGGGAGCAATAGTGATGGTTTTAAATTTTTACCGATGCCTGCTCGTCCTCTCTGAAGCTATCCACATATGATGGGAAGACCTCCTGGCAGGTGTATAAGACACAATTTTCTATCGTTGCGGATGCGAATGGATGGGATTCCCAAGCTAAGGCCTGTCATCTCGCCGCTTCTCTCTGAGAGCCAGACGCAGCGGATATCCTTGCAGACTCTTCCCGAAAACCAAAGGCTTAGATTTCGAAGCTCTGTCCGGCGCTTGGAGCTGCGCTTTGGCGAGAAATGTTTAAAAGACTACAGCAGGCTCCAATTAAAATCTCGTCAACAGAAGCCCACCGAAACACTTCAGGAGCTCGCCACGGATGTTGAAAGGCTGTCCACATCACGCCTTTTCGGAGTGCCCGACAGAAACAAGAGAAATCCTGTCGCTGCAATATTTCATCGATGGCATCCGGGACCCTGAAATACAGAAAGCACTGCGAATGGCGGATGTTAAAGATTTGAAAAGCGCTTTAGTGTACGCCATGAAATTTGAGGCAGCCCAGCAAGCCACTCGTCGAGACCGCCACCCAGTCAGAGCTGCTCAAGTCCAGGAGCCAGGGGATCAAGTCACCGCTCGTCTAGACGATTTAACTAGACAACTGAACGCCTTGAGACGGAATATTGGTGAGAAGAAACCGACCGTTAAGTGCTGGAACTGCGGTGCTGAAGGACACATACGACGTGCCGAACTGGTCTTATCTCCGCCTGACAAGAAACCAAAGCGTGGTTTCTTCTACTGTGGAGCTGAAGGCCACGTACGAAAGAATTGCAGAACACCCCAGGGTACGGAAAATAAGATAATTTCCCAGCAACGACGCAGGAAACAAATGAATGGCCATATCGAGGAACGGAGGTTGCCAGTTAATGGAAAACTTTGTTTTAAAGCGCTCAAGATTTCTATAGAGAGTGGCAACAGTAACGGACTGTTCATCAATGGCCATATCGA